TTTTTGTATGAAAATAGCTTTTTAAAAGCATTTTACCCATATTTTTTAAATGTGATAGATAACTGACAAATTATGAGATATTAGAGGACAGAATATTTGAAATTGATTATGAACAAGGTCCTACATGTTGACTTCATATTTACATTCAGCTTTGGTCTTAATAAATCTTTTTCTTGTATAGTTGTAAAAAAGAATGTCCTTTATTCAATGGAACAGTGAGCTGTCCCATACATACAGCAAGATGTACTTGTCTAGACTAATTATTGCTGTAACAATGCCTGTTAAACAGAATTTTTTATTCTATGCTATTGACCATAAAAAAAATAATCATTAAAGTACAAACCAGTTTAGTGAAAGCCTTTAGTGGTAGCATTATCAAACGTGTGTTTCATGTCATGTCAATAAATATGACACTGTTTTATATGTAAGTAGCTGAGATGTTTAACATTGTCATTTCATAAAGTCACAATAAATTTGAGAAACTTTTGTAGTTATTACATTAAAAATGATGTTTATTTCAATTTATTATTAAAAACTGTCTTACACTCATGACCACAATTTTTCTTTTAAATTAGAATTAGAGACATTTTATCATTGCAGTTTGTCAAGCTTTAAGAAACAAATTTCTTTTACAAATAGTAATAGTTTGGAGTTTGGAATTCTTGATCTATCAAGAACTCCTCTATATAAATTTTGTTTTCAGTAGCAGTGTATCCAGTATGAGGCAACTTGTGACTAGTGGTATCTCTCAGGATTTAAGGCCCTGGATGTAGAGAGGAAATCCTCACTACTTACCAAACAGCATGATGAAACATTTTATTAATTAGACACTAACAATTTGTGTCAATGTAACAGGTATAATTTAAGCTTTAATAATAGTTATACATAATAAATAAGTAAACGTTTCGGCACATGCCTTCATCAGTACAATAAACTGATGAATGCATGTGCAGAAACGTTTACTTGTGTATTATGTATAACTATTATTAAAGCTTAAATTATATTGTTATATTGACACAAATTGTTGGTGTCTAATTAATCTATTTTAAAGCTTTATCGCGGTCCAACACTTTTTATGACACATTTTATGCAAGCATTCCTATTGGCTCATTGAAAAATGACTCTCCTTGTAGAAATTTGGCTTGTTATTTCTAAAACATTAAAAAGATTTGTTCTTTTATTATTCATCATCTATTTTTCTCTTTGAGCAACTGTGATTAAAGGTGAAAGATCATTTTGAAATTTCTGATACATGCGAGACAAACTAACTTAAATTTGCCGTTATTAGTATGGTTTTGGATAATTATGCCTTCATCAAGATAATAAAAGTAACTAATTTAGCACAGATGTGAGATATGTTTTCAAGGGATTCATTTTAACCATGATTTTTAAGCTAAGAATACATGTGCATACATAATCAGGCCATTTGGTGGATCAGCTCAAATGATTATATATTTTGATGCATGTGAAAACTTTTTCCTACCCACATTCCTTTCTCCAAATCATCATTGTATTTTATATCTCAGATGTAAAAAAAAAATAATGTTTCTAACATTGCATGAACTTCAGCACAAATATAGATGTTTGCATTTTAACCCAGTGACTTCATGTTATCTCTTTGTCACAATTTAAGAACTTGTTCATTGCCTTCAATTTTAATAGACGTTTGTATAGTTGTTATTGTGTACAGAAAATAGATTTTGTCGATGTTGCATACAATTGAGAATCATGTCTGATAATTTAGATTAAGTCTTAGTGATAGACTATTCAGATTAATTTAATTCCATAGTTAAATAACATTGCAAATTTCTTGTGACAATTTATTTCTATTCATCACAAAAGTTCTCTTATTATTTCAATTTTCAATCTTTCCCATTCCTGTCAGCTGAGTTTCTCCTTCCTTTGTACATTTGTCTTGTCCTACATTTGTATCATCATACCACCCCCTACCAGGCAACTTTCAAGAAGACGTCTGTATAGTAAATTAATTTCATCAGTGTGTGTCCTAACTTAAAAAAGCAATTTTAAAGTAAGACAGAATGTTGAAATTGAATGCAACAACATTTATATAATTTTGTTTAGTAAATGTAGAAGGTAAGAATTATTAGTTAATACAAACACTTTTTAGCGGTGAATTAATTTTATTGCTAATGGCAAAAGTGTCACTTATTTACCGCCAAGGGTCTTTTCATTTTTTTTTTTTTTTGCAATGACATTTTTAAATCAAATTTTTACATTTACAAATAGCTAAATTTTAATTTTAAATGTCAACAATAGGTGTATAAAATCATCATTTTTAGCCATAATACCAAAGTTCATTTGGCAAAATGTGCCTGCTACAAACAGCAGAAGTTATTCAGTATTTAGATTTACAGCAGTTAAATATTTTTAAAAATTAATAATTAAAACATTTAATCTTCTCATGAATAAAAAAAATCTTACCATAAATGCTGAGTCACATTGTTGTATGTTCTTGAATTGCAATGTTCTAATGTCATAAAAATGTGGCATTTAGAAATTATGAATCTAATCATGCTATCTGAACTTGTACATGTCAATACAAAATGTAATATCTTGAAACCATATCTAAAACTAAATTATGCAATGAGTTTGTTTGTTAACTAAATTGAATTATTTTCCAGAATATTTTTTATCTTTCCGTTACAAGAGATGGTTATTTTGCTTTATTCTATTTTTAATTGATGCATTTCTTTGCTAAATCTCTAAAAGTAAACCAAAAATATGGCTGTTAAAAATATATTATTCATGGGCAGTGTGATCTTTTCACTCGGTGCGTTGGGTAAAATGTTAAAGGTTTATTGGGATAATTATAAACACCTTCTCCATTTATGGGTATCTAGGCTTTAGGGTTTTCATTTTTTGAAGTATGACCGTGTGGTACCTTTTACTACTCATATACATATAATTCATAAAATTAATTTTTGTAATTCTGAACAGCTGGCTAAAAAACCACCAAAGTTGTGAGCAAAACTAATGCTAGCTCTAAATAAATAAAACTGATAACTAATTGGAGAATCTATGGCTTTAGTAGAATTAAGGATTATTGTTAACTATATGTTTAATAATTATGTACAGTACAGCATTGGTGATTCTCACCACACATAATTGATAAATTTGGCCCTTTTACTGTCAATTGCATTTAAACAAAGAAAATACAGCATTTTCAAGTTCTAAGAAATTTTGTTATGAGATATGAGTATTAATTGTAACATTTAAAAATCCTTTAAATTTAAATAAGTTAATTGTGTCCTAAAAGCATTTTTATGGTAAATGTTATAAAAATTCTTAATTTATACCCAGTATTGGAAAGGAAAATACAAGTCAATTAAGTTTAAACAGGGTGTTAACTCTGCAACACTGTATCCATTTTCCGAATCCCCAATGCTCTTGTACTTGTGGGGACAGCCGTGAGTTGTTCCCAACTGCCTTTTCAGCTTCCTCTTCACTTTCACCCACAAATTCTAATACGCCAAGGGTGAAATTCATTATTGCCAGTTTCCGCAAAGTTTCAGTAGGAAGCCCAAAAGATGAGATTATTTGAGCTCGTCACACACAGCACATAATTAAGTATTTCTTCTTAAAGAGTAGAAACCAAAGCCTGTCCTATCTTATCACCTACACAAACCAATTGTCCCTTTCAGATATTTAATTCTGCATCCCGTTGTCATTGCAGCATGATAATGTCTAGCGCCCCCCCCCCCACATTTATAGACATCTCCTTAATAATGCTATTTATTTTAATAGTTATACCGGAAATAATTAGTCTATAAGACTAAGAAGAGAATACTTAGTAATTTATTTTTACAAAATTAATAATGCTATTTACTTCATTAAATTTATAGAAAATTAATCAAAACAATATTGATAAGATTACCCTGGGTAGTAGTGGACGTTAAATTGAAAATTTTAACATTTTGCCATTATTAATAATATTAAATATTAATAAAATAACTTACTGATAGAATTTCTATCAGCAGTGTAAATGACCATCAATGTTTAGGTCAAGTTGCAATAATTTACCATAATTTACAATTGTAAGAAGTCATGACTTTATTCTCATGTGGACTGATGAATGCTCATAATTTTTTTGAAATAGGCGAGACAGATATCTCACCCATCAATATGGCTTCTTATGAGTTGTGTTTGTTTAGCCGTTTTTTTTTTAATTTTAAAAGCAGTTCAGTATTTTCATAATGTAAACCTGACATTAGATGAGATATACATTTTAGCTAGTAGAGAAAAAAAAATGTTAATAATAAAATTAAGATCATAAATTTTATTTAGATGTATGTAAAATGTGAATATAAAATATATTTGGTGTAAAATATCTTTATCACAAACCATTCTAGATATAGATGCTTTCTTTAGCTTATATTTTAGTCTGTCTCTAGATTATTACATCTTTTCAAATTCTATTTTCAATGTGATTTAAAACTAATGCTGCTGTCAGTTATATATGAAACCCATTATTGAGATATTTCCTTGCAATTCTGTATTTAAATAGTGTTGTATTTTTATTCAACTTACAACTTCTAAATGAACAAGTAATTAGCTAGGTAAAACTTTTGAATAGTTAAAAAATTAACTGTATTGCTTTGTTCAAACCACATCCTGTAATATTAGTATTAGTCAAATATGAATAAAGGAAAAAATTGGAAATAAACTTCTGTTTAGTTTGCCCCAGTTTTAAGTGCATATCTTGGTTTACTGTTGCACTAGAACTTTGAACTTTATAAAGTGATTTATCTTTACTATTAAAGATTGGAATTATTCATGCATGATTCTGTGTTTATTCGCTGTATAATTTCTAGTAATTTATTAACATTTTTCATTAGTAAATAAATAAAGGAACTTTTATAAATGCAATATTGAGTTGGAACAGGTCAGATTTTTTTAAAAAGCTTAACTATAAATGAAATCAATGATTATTTTTAATTATGCCATGAATCATTGAAATTTCAAAACAACAAAATGTATTTACAAATTAAAACAGATTTATTTCCTCAAAGACTCCGATTCTAGTTACATTTCAAATAGCAGCAGAAACATTTACATTTATCAAAAGGAAAATGAAACCTAAAAATGCTTGATTACTTGTTCTTGTGTTTTTTCTTACTCTTCTTGCCAGGTTTGACAGCTTCCTTCACTTCATCTGCCAACTTTCGCTTCTTTTCCAGATGGCTATAGTGTAAAAAAATATAGTTTTAATATTCCACTTTACAATTCAAACAATTAATTTCATGCCTGCAAAGATTGCAATAAAAATTTCTGTTTATATCAAAGCAAAGCACTAAATATTTTACCAAGACATCCCATAATTGCTTATCACTAAATTCAACACATTATTTTTATTGCATCCTTTATGAATCAATTTCTCACTTTCATTTCTTGAATGGTTAAACTTCTCAGCTTCCCATTTTCACTAAACTTAATGGTATTGATTACTAATTTTATTAACCATAGCCAAGGAACATGGCAAGCTGATTCTTTCTAATATGTTCATTTACAAGTTCAAAGTACCTTTTGACACTGACTACAGATTTTCCTGAACCTTTTAAGGCTTCTGTCCAGTCTGTCTCTGTGCCCTTGATTGCATACTGAGAGAGGTCAGCACCAATTAAACTAGCTACATCTTTTTTGTGCTGTTGTCTAAACTGGTTACCAGCTTCTGCCTAGAAATTGTAAACAAACTTTTCAAATATATGCAACAAAAAAATATAAAGTTTCCTGAAAAATATTATAAGCTAATAAATAAGTTCATGATGTAATGCAGTGGTTCTCCATGGCTTTCAATCTTTTTGAAGTCTGGGAACACCTACTCTGAATTTTTTTTTGCCCTTAACACAATACAGTATAATAAATGAAGGACTGCATGCAAACTGTGTAAAGGAAATAGTGGAACAAATTAAGAGGAGCTTGAAATATAAAGACAGGACAATAAAAAAGAACATTTTGGCTAAGAGCGCTCCTCAGCAGAGGCAAAATGAAGAAACAACAAGAAATAGAAAATAGTTTTAAAAAAGTGTTGGCCATTAATGTTATTGCCAGAAGTTGTGTATTCCAAAACCAAGATTACAGGAAGTAAAAAATGTATGTATCAGTACTTTGAAAATAAGATTTTAATAGACAAAATTTTTTTTGGAAACTTGTAAAATATATAATTAAAAAATGGTGATATTGTGCCAAAAAGCTCAATTTAATTTGTTTTCCCTTCTAATTCTAACGCTTGCTGGTGTGTTAGTGCAGGAAATCAGTGCCATGATGGAAACATCTGATGTCCCTTTGTGTTTATCTCCATTGAAATGGGATGAATCCAAGAAAGTTTGCCCTGTTTGATATCACAAAGATGTTCTAGTTTCACCTATATAACAGGAGCAGCACAGTATTACGTTAATTTTAAAAACATATTGCACCCTTGATTAGCTTTAAAGGTAATCTTCTATTGTATTTGTTGCATGCAAAAAAATTAGCCACCCCTGCTTAATAGTGTTACTTTTATAAAAGATCAAAATATATTTATCTAAAAATTACTTAAATTACAATATTTTACAAATAATTAATCAAATTTAATGCGATACATGAGCTTGGTGACTCCAGATGTCAGTAATATTGTAATGAATAATGCTAAAGCCACTGGAATCTCTTCTAATTTACCAGGCTTTCTGGTTTCTTTGTTCTGATATAAACCATCATTGAAAATCTGCATTGCTAAGTCTTCTTCTATATCAGCAGTTCTCAACCTGTGGGTCGCAACCCCTTTGGGGGTCGAACAACCCTTTTACAGGGGTCGGCTTAGACCATAGGAAAACACATATACTCTACAGTCATGAAGTAGCAACGAAAATAATTTTGTGGTTGGGGGGGTCGCCACAACATGAGAAACTGTATTAAAGGGTCGCCGCGTTAGAAAGGTTGAGAACCACTGTTCTATATATTAAGGGCCCACGATCAATTTAGTGATCATTTTGGCTCCTATGCATGTAGAGGGGATTTGCAATGTTACTGTGCCTGGTGTTGATGAGGATATTTCACTGATTGCAAGTGTTACTTTGTGAGGGAATCATGCACTGGGGGTTGGAAGGCTTGAGGCAATAGACGCAAATGTGTTTAGTGTTTTCGCCTCAACTGTTCCTTTTGAAAGCTTGTTCCAGCCCCTGATTGTCTTGGGCAGGAATGAGCAGTTCCTATGATTACCGGAAATTTGATCGAAAGAAATTTCGTCCACGGTAAATTGATCGACGGAAATTTGATCGAACGGAAATTTGGTCGAATTTTTTATCGGTTCACACGTTAAAATTTTCGTCAAATTTCTATTTGAACGCACTATACTATATAGTAAAACAAAATAATGTGTTCAAAATGAAATTTGAAGCGAAATTTTAATGTAAAAACAGAAAAAAAGTTTCGACCAAATTTCCGTTCGATCAAATTACTGACGATCAATTTACCGTCGACGAAATTTCTTTCGATCAAAATTCCGGATACGAAATGTGTTTAGTGTTTTCGCCTCAACTGTTCCTTTTGAAAGCTTGTTCCAGCCCCTGATTGTCTTGGGCAGGAATGAGCAGTTCCTATACTGGCTTCTTGCTGGTATGAGCCGGAATTGCCTGTCATGGCCTCATCTCTGTCTATGGGGAGAGGGACGAGTTTCTGTTTAATACTGGAACAGTGGACCAGCCCATTATTTATCTTGTACATCATGGAGAGCCAGGATAGTCGTCGTTATTTATCTTGTACATCATGGAGAGCCTGGATAGTCGTCGTCGTCACTCCAATGGTGACCAGCCTAGTGTTTCCATCATGCTGCCAACACTAGAGGTATTCCGGTAGCGGCTCAGGACAAAGCATGCTGCCTGTCGCTGGACCGCCTCCAACCTGTCACTGCTCTTCTGGGTATCTCTGTTTTGATATTAACCATCATTGAAAATCCTGCTTTGCAAAGATATGATGTGAAAAAAATAATAATGTGTTTATCCAGAATTTTTCATGAGTATTTAATCCACGATCCGAAGAAAGCAATGTCAGTTATTCTTCTCATTCAGAGAAAACTACAGAAGTCAGAAGAAACAAATGGCTTTCTTATCCAAACAAATTGTTTAGTGTTTAACAATGAAAAATATTTTTCAAAATTTTCCTCTCTTGTTGAATTTTCAATTACAATTATTAAAGAAATGATTACCTCGTTTGTATCCTGCACAGAATGGGAACATTTCTGTTTCTTTCTTTTAAATGTCTCTTACATAGTAAAAGTTTTTTCTAATTGCACATAATTTGTCAGTTGATGTAGAATTTTGTCGTTGTTTTTTTGCTTACTTATATCGCAAAAGTAAGCAAAAATATTGACCAAATACGACGAATTATTGCACCAATTAACATTTTTCAGATATTTTCCAAAAGTTTCGAGTTATTCCGTTTCGAAAAACAACAACCCAGTACTTCATTTTTTAATTGCAACACATGATTTAAAACCTTTCCATGTGACAACCACCTCACTTCTGTATAAAGAAATAAACATTTGTAGTCTGCGTCCATATTGTTTGAAAATGTGTCTTTTCAGCTGTCTCAATTTAATAAAATTAAGCATGGAAACTGTTAAGTCTCTCAGGTATTTTTTTATATAAGTACTTCTACATGCAAGAAACAGTGATGAAATATTATATTTGGATTAATTCCATCATAGTTACAAATCGTGACACATTGATCCCATGATAATTTCAACAAATATGACATAACCCCGTCAAATAAGTCCTGGCCAGTTGTAGGCCCTAAAAGTTTTACGGCATAAAAATTGGTTTAAAATGACACAAAGTATATATCTTGCCACTCATATTAGTTGATTTGACTACTTGTATAGCAAAGGACATGTTAACCAGTTCACCTGCGACTGTTCTTTCAATGTTGCAGGACATGTCATTCTTCTGCGAATCGTGTCATCAGAAAATGTCCTTTTTTGCTCCATCTCCAAACATAATTGTCACTTTTTCACAGCAGCTGGGTAAAATGAGAGTGTGTGGCAAAAAATGAGTGTGTGTGGCGTTAATTTTAGTGATACTATCTCAGCAGTTTTATAACACACCAGGTGAGCTTTATCACTCTCTGTTCAGTGTTTGTTGCTGCATCCATATACTGGCATCTGGGCAATGGTTGGGGAAGCCATGTTGGTTGCTGCATCCATATATTGGCATCTGGGCAATGGTTGGGGAAGCCATGTTGGTTGCTGCATCCATATACTGGCATCTGGGCAACAGTTGGGGAAGCGATATTGCTATTCTAACAGCTCCTAGCAGATGCCTGGGCAGTCTTGAAGCTTTCGACCGATGTCAAATCCACAGCGGCATTGTCCAGGTGATTCCAGGCGATTATTGTGATGGGAAGAATGATTGTTTATACTGCACTGTGTTACACCGAGGCACAGTGAAGTATTTGCTATTTTTCTGGGTTTAATTTTTTATGGGGTTGTCAGTGGTGAAATCAGTGTTCAGTGAGCGTTTGGCTCTGATTAATCGACCTGGCTTCTGTGGGGGTGAGATATGTGTTTGCTGGGATGGCCGGCACTAGCCCCATGACCACTTTATATAAGAATATTAGGCGGAGCTTTTCTCGTCTGTCTTTGAGGGAGGGAATGTCAAATCTTTTTAAGAGGTCTGTGACGAAGCTGGAAGTGGTGGATTTGTAGTCACGTGCGATGAAGCGCACCTCGTTATGTTGGATTAGCTCCATCTTGTCCACGCCTTGCTTTAGGTATGGGTCCCAGATGATCGCACCATATTCTTGTTGTGGACAGACAAGTGCAAGATAGGCATTTCGTTTGCAGGAAGTTGGGCAGTGGCGCAGATTTCTTAGAATGAAACCTAGTGTAGGGTTGGCCTTTTTAAAAATTTTGTTTATATGGGGTAACCAGGCCAGTTTCATTGTTTTCTCTTCTAATTATTGTATTCTTTGTTGACCTACGAACATTTTTATGCTCAGTTGAAAAATGATACTTTAATTTAGCAGGCATCAATCATGCTTTTGGCAAGTTTCTTTCAGCATACAAAGCAGTCAGGAGTTTGAAAATCTGTATTTCCGGTCCAGGTAAATCCGAATTTTATGTATTCTTTGTTGGACACACAAGTTGATTTTACAATATCTCCTCTGCATTGTCTTCAATACTACTAGTGCTAACAGTAGCCTTGTGCTAGCAGTGACCTTGTGCTAGCAGTGGCCTTGGCCTTGTGCTAGCGGTAGCCTTATCATTAGTGCTATCAAAACAAGATTTCTTTATGATGAAATTATCCATTACCTCTAATAAAATAAATTTTATGAAATATATCAAATTAATTGAGAAATGAAAGAAATGAAAAAAATCATTTACAATAAATACAATTACAATAACGACAGCATACAGACATAGACAATCAACGGTTAATACATTACACGCGGTACACAATTTATGGTGAACAACGAAATAGTAAATTCATTTTGCTAAAGAGTGACTATTTATAAATCGTTAGTGTTAAACAATGTATAAGAGTGTATGGCTTGATACAATTTAAATAGCAATCAATAAAGCAATAGACTGAGAGCAGTTTACCCTTTTAGCAAGCACAATAAACCAGTTTGTTATTGATGTACCAAGTTTCAGGCAACTTTGAGTTCGATTCGATGCCATTACTGGAACTCAGTGAAATAAACCACATTGACTGCCCAGAATTCGAAAGTGAACTACACAGGCACACCAATATGTGCGAATGGACAAACATTTTTAATTGTCATTCATTTTGCATATTAAAGCCCCTAAAAAAATAATTTTACATTGTATTGCTTTTTCTTTTGCAACAATTCTTAATTGTGTATTTTATTTTTTTGCATAACACTTCAAGTGGTTTCGCAGAGCACCAGTGTTCCAAGAAGCACGGAATGAGAACCACAGACATCATGGATTCAGAACAATTTTTATATACAATGATGCTAAAAATAAATAAAAGAATATAAACAATTTTATTTCATGTTAAATTATAATAAAATTTCTGCAAGTAAGTTATTATAGATAATTTATATTTCTACAAATACACACCAGTTCTTGATCCATGGTTTGACGCAGTGGATCCATCACAACATCTTTTTTCTCTGCTATTGATGCTTCAGCTTCCTTCTCCAAGATCTCATTAAAATGCTAGATTGACAAAATTAAACAAATCGTGATATTTTATTAGTGTTTGCATGTTAAATAAAGGCAGAGTGCTACTAGCTACAGGCATGGTGATCAGATTATATTAAAAAACAATTTAAATGTAACAACGTTTCATAATCATCCTCAAACTTTTGTGCATGAAAATAATTTACTAATTCTTAATAGAGGCTTATTTAATGGCTGAAATCCTAACAACCGTGGGACCACAGTTACATATCACACATTTCCTCAATAGCCTGCCAAAAACACATTTTAAGAATCGGAACAAATAGTTCACCAAATCTAATATTGCCACAGATGAATACAGATTTACAAATACATTTTTTTAAAAACCATATGTTTAATATTATCCACACACCTGCACAAACTTGCGAATAGATCTGTTAAAAAGAGCTAACACTTGGTTGGCGGGAAGCTCAATGTCTTTTTCAATTTCATCTACAGTTTTGTGCTGAAGACCAAGTGACAGTAAGATGCTCTGAAATTAAATTTACAATTATTTAGTTTTTCCCGTCGCATCACAATTTGTCAGAATAGTTTTCCAGAAAGAGTATGTGAAACCAATGATCAGCATTATGGAATTATAATTTGGCTATTTAAATTTACACATTGACAGAAATAAACTTTTCAACAAACCAACAGGAGTAAAAAAAAGAAGAAAAAAAGAAAAAACCAACGAAAAGGGCGCAAAGATTGTCTTACACTTTGTACCACACTAAGGTGAATATTGATGCGGCCAGTGAAGAAAAGCCTGGCCAACTCTGGCAAGAGATCAACAATAAGATGGTAGTCCACCATGTTACTAGCATACAGTTCCAGGCGCTGAATATCATATGTGGTGAAATACATGAGAAGTTCAGACCGGCCTAATTTAACTGTGGAACAAACAAGATTTTTTTTTTTAAATTGACGCACCTATGAATCTAGAAGTGTGGAGAAATTTCAGTTTTAGTAGATATAAGCATTTTTTTGAGGGAAAAAAATGGATCACCTTAGTTATTTTTAATTTAAATAATCTTTAATTAATAAAATATACAACTAGAATATAGGCTGGTTAAGTGATTTGAGTATATTTGACTTACTCGGTGTAAAAATATACATAATATTTTAATAGCTAATTTTGTTAAAGTTTTAGAGACTTACCAGCCCCTTCTGTTTTAAAATTTTTGTTTTGAAGGATGTTTAAGGCCATTGCTGGCTTCAAGATACGGAACTGATATGAGAGCAGTGCCACAAATCTTTTACGGAAATCTGTAGATACAAAAAACAACAACTGGTAACTTAAACCAGGGAACAACCAGAAATCGCATCAGACCTTCACTCCGACCAAATATTCTGTTTTTTTCAATACTTGCCTTAGCAAATTTTACTATTACTGCTGAAAATTAATTTTGCAAGATATTCAATAAATTTGCGCATTAAAATGGGAAGCTTTTTGGCTGTGCAGTCTAAATTGTGTCAATTTCAAACTTGTTCAATCCCCACTGAAACCCGAAGAGAAAGAAAATTAAATCAGCTTTTTTTAAACTCTAACTTTATTAGAAACATGATATAAATTAAAACATGTTTTTGCATCCTTCCCAAATGGAAAACTCACAACTTTTAAATGAAATAGCTTGTTTAACATCCAATATTAATCAATATAATTTTTTAAAATGGACTCAGATAATGATGTTGATAGCAATTTATTTGTAATTAAAGATATTTAATCGGTTAATAATGCTAGCTGTAGTATTAGTAACAAATATTCCTATATTAAAGTTAATGAAGTAAAGCCAATATCATACAACTTTACTTTCTTATAACATTATTCTTAACCATACCGCCATGTGGATAGAAATTTTTTAACTTTATGCACTATGTGAATATCAAGTGTTAATAGTATCGGTTCGTATTAACACGTGTAAAAAAAATTTCATGACTGGTAAACGATATACATTATTATACTATTGCATATTCAACCATTCGGCAATCTGCCCATAGTATCTGCACATAACATCAGTAATGTTAGAAGCGCCCCTGAAGGAATATTAGATTAATTGTATAGCAGCGCCCCTGAAGGAATATTAGCATAATTGTATAGCAGCGCCCCTGAAGGAATATTAGCATAATTGTATCAGTATGACCAAAGTTCAATTTAAATATTCTAATAATTTAAAAATAGTTATCTATTTTGTTAATTTGCATTGTATTATTAGAGTAACAGCTTATTATAAATAGACATGGTATTATATGTAGATCACATTATATGCTGTGATATATGGTAAGTTTCATAATGTATAATGCACAAATAGTACTCTGAATAATAGTACTTTGGCAATTTGTAGTAAAAAAAAAACTTGGTTCGGTACCGGGTGAAAATGTCTAACCCTTGATCCCCAGCTTAAACCTCATCAAATATTGCAAAGTAAACAATAAATTATTATATAAGAAAAGATTCGCTATGCAACATTATTTAATGCTCTTTATCCTAGAGAAGATGCACCACCTGTAAAAACTTCCCTTATTTCTCATTAGGACAAAAACTGTGGTTGGATTACAGAAGCTGGAAATGGTTCTTCCCTTTCTCATCACTTTGTAATATCTAGAGCACTCATCAATGGCCTACCTTTCCAGAAAGCCTCTAACCAAGCTTGCCTCTCATCCTCAGATGTGTTCAGTGTTTTGAGCATGATGCAGGAATGTTCTCCAGTCAGCTCATTCTATCAAAAAACAATATACATTTCAAAGGAATCAGATCCACATAATGCACTTGTAATAACAAAAGTAGGATCTACATTAACATTTCAAGAACTCTCAGGATCGACTGCAAGGAGATAGTCTCATTTGTTAATGCATTTATCACAACAAATCTGTTGTTGAATGAGATTACCAATTATAATGCATTTTTAACTACTGATTCTACCATACTAAATATTCATGTCAAATTTATTCTGGTAATAAGCAATGTTATTACCCCATTATTTTGAAAGAAACAAGTGCAAATGACTTGAAAATAACATTTCTAAGAAGAAAGTTGTTTAAACATGATTTTGGTTGGCAGTTCCTGTTCATTTAGTCATTAATTTATACCAGCTGATTAATATTATTTCATTTTTTAATGAGACAATATACCATCCCCTGGGTAGGATATATCACTGGTATAAGAGTGCTGAACACCCTGCTAAAAAAAAAAGTAAAAACTTACGGTGGTTTGTCTCATGTAAACTGGAACAAAGCCGGCTTTTTTCCAAAACCTTCGGAGAAGATAAATGACTGTCCTTCAGAATGTTTATTTTTATGTTTCGAAACTATTAAAGTAACAATTAATTTCATTTTAAAATCATTATATACTTGTAGGATATTTCATAACTATTTTTCATTAGCTTTGACTTACCTGAAAAGGTCTGAGGTCAACCCATAAGACACCCCGAGATAATCAAGCTTCTCTGGTCTTCTGTCTGTGAGTTTGACTAAAAGAGGCGGCAGATTTTTTCTTGGTTGAATTTGTTCATTCAATAAATTTATTTCCTGGAAAAGAGGAAAAACAAATTTAGAAATCACCGTTCAACCATTTACAATTTAACGTTCCACCATTTACAATTCTACGTCTTATAGATCCTTTTATTTAATTGAGATGTTCCATACTAGCAATGAATGAGATATTTTTCCGTTACAGTGAATTTTCATCCTTACCTCATCATCAACTTCTTTTAATTGATTTTTTCCTTCATCATCCTCACTACTTTCTCCATTCTCCATCTGAACATCACCGGTTGTTGATTCCTTCAAATTGGGATATTTGCCCTCATAGTACTGTTGTAATTGATCTAAGGAAGTGGAACCGTAGCCCATCTGTTGCAATTAAAGCAAAATAGGGTTATTCACTTAATTTTATTTTTTTTAAACATCTTGAAGAGATTGTGAGGATATAAGCACAATTAAGTCTGTCTGCCTTAATGCAACAACAACACAAAAATATTTCGTTTATAAGCCTTGTACATAAAATATAAGGAAAGGTTTTCTTGAATGATTACCTACCCCTTGATAATCTGGATGTGTTGCTATTCTCACAACACGAGCACCAGAAAGACTAGGAAAATCATGGTCTTGATACTAGAGGAGAAATGATGAACAAATACAGCATAATGGCTTAACAATGAATACAATCGGCTGTTGCAGACCACAAAAATTGACAACTGAGGTTGTACACATAATAATTGATGTGTGAATCTTGTTTTTATAATTGTAATAAACTATATAGAGACTTTTATTCTTTTAATAAATGAATTTCAATTACGGTTTTTAGCAGCTTTTAGGAGTATTTTTGTTCCAGGTTCATTCAGAACACACAGGTAAAAGATTGCATGAAGTAATTACAAATGACTTGACATCACCACTGATATTTCTCAGGTTATGACTTTATGTATGCATGGTGTAACGCTGAGTTCAATAGCACTCAAATGAACATTCCTGTCAACTGCAATAATTGAGATGATTAAAAATACCACAAATGTGCTTGGTGCCTATTTTCTTTTGTTTTATGGATACAGTCTCAATTTAAATATGATGTAATGTAACTGTTAAATTATAGCCTATGCCTTTGCCTATTTTTCATTTTAAGGTAGGGTCACTTGTCTCGTTAGTATGGCATTGATGTTGACTACACCCAGTAAATGTGCCAAGTCACTACTTCCTTGCCCGCCCCTTTCTTGGCTGGGAAAAAGGTTGTTTACATCCGAATGCGTTGTTTACTCTAAAGAATGCCATTAGGCGACACAATTTCTAGAATTTCTGTATTAAAACGTTCTGATTTTGTTCCTATATATGTACTCAAATTTGTATAGAATTTAGGATTCTTATAAAGTGCAGTACTTGAATGCTTTTGTAAAGTAACTTGGGTAGATGGGAGTTCACGTGTTGCTGCCACCATTGTTTGGTTGGTTATTTCTAGAATTTAATAAAAATGCATTTGGCAAACAAACCTGCTGTGACACAGTCCATGGGATGAGATCCCCTGATGCTCGTTTTCCTCTTTGTAAACTGTTTATGATGGTAGATTTGGAGATTTCACCCTCTAAACAAACCTTTAGGAACGAAAATAGTTAAATATTCAAATATCTGAAGACATTGCAGCTCATCTTAATGTTGTGTTGTTTTGATAAAAGCCATCATTCCATCTGTAATGAAGCCTAACAAATTAAAGAAATGTGGTAGCATGAGAGTGGTTCATGAATTATCAAAATAAACTTTTATAAATTAATTATTAAATGAAGTCCTCTCACAAACTGGCACCTTAGTGACCCCCATTGTTTACCTGTAACACACATAAAACTTCTGGTAGTTCCCCCTGTGAAGGTTGCACAGGTCCCAGCAGTACAAAGATGTGATGGGCAGGAGCATCAGACAAAAGTTGGAGGTCGTTGGGAGAATTCTGTCAACAATAAATTTCATATTTAGGATTGACCAACTGCATTTTCAATTTACTAAAAGTGTTCAGTCTTTTACCTAAACCAAGAATTAGTTTCCAAAGTCTATATTAAACTGAATACATTAGAAAATGTATTTTCAAAAGTCTAAGATGAACCATGAAATAATTAAATCCTTTTCATTTTTGTATTCTTTTAAAAAACTTAAAATTATTTTTGCTTTCCCTAAATTAATATATTGTACATTTTATAACATAATATAAAATTTTGCATAATGCGCCACCTTGTAATGTGAAGATACATAAAGAGCCATAACTCTATGCAGAAACTTCTCTGAAGCCGGATGGTAGGAAAAAAGTGTATCCCTGTTGACATAATACAGCTGACAATTTGCAGGCAGCGGGCAGCCAGATACTGACCGGGGTATGGAACTTGCATCCAGACACAAAAGTCTATTTAACCAGGCCTCAACCGGGTCACCATTTGCATATCTTATGGACTCTTTTAGTTCCACTTCATGTAGCACTCGACCTGGAGAAAATTTTTAATTTTTATTCTGTTATAGGCATTCTATTATCTGAGCAACAATGACATCCTTGAGGAAAAATTCTGGTTATTAATTTGTTTTCATAAGGACATTCTGTTCAAATTTCCTATAATTTGAAATAATTACCTACCCTCGGAAATGTGAGAATGAGTTTAAAAAGTCAATTTTTCTTAATTACTTAAAGAGACGAAGAGTAAGAAAAGCTGACTAATAAATAAGATAAATGTATTTAAAAAATACCCCCCCCCCCCCCCGTCTATTACCAACCTGATGATGAAGTATCAGCTCCTTTTTTTCCCATATTTGCTGCCATTTTGGCCTCTTTAACACTACCACCATAAGTTACTGTTTGCTGCCTAAGCTGTTGGATCAACTTGAGAGACAGGGACCGTCCAGTGCCTTCATACCTAAATATAAATATAGAACATAACATGCCACCAAGAATATAAGAAGAGAAAAAATGGAAAACATTAATTTAGATTATTTTGTTTTCTTATCAAGTCATTTACTTTATCCATGTAAAAACTTTATGTGACCCAACACCTAACAAAATTACTCTGCAATATTTTACTAATGTATTGGTCATTCTTCCATTCCAAATACCCCAACACAATACTTCAAATAGAGACAAAACATGCTGACTTTATTAAATATAAATTAGGGTTACTACTGAAGCCTTCTGACCGTGTCTTTCCTAGCAAGTTTTGATTTTAAGAAAACATTTAATTTTTTTAATTTTTTGTCTACAGTGTCAGAAAACTGACAAAATTTTTTATTTTGTAACCAACTACATCTCCAAATTTCAGTGATTAGTTCACTTCAAATCCATATTTTAATCATATATTCCAAATTACGTCTGGGCACATATTTGAAAGGTGGATTTAATTATGAAGCTTAGGTCAATACTCTTTATATATATTTATAATGTCTATGCTTTCTATAACTTGTTGACATGTAGAGCATTGGGAGCAAACTAATTTGATACCCGTTGATTGTTGATGACATGAAGACCAAGTAGGGACCCAGCAAACTTTTCACAAGTGGTAAGGGGATGGCGGCTGCTTCATCAATACAAACGAGTTCAGCCTGGCCAAGCTTGTGGGAGTCAGCAGGGTGAATGTACTGTGGACAATATGTTGGAGGGACTTACTCAAGTCATAAATATTCATTTTACATAAGATAAAAAATATTGTTGATTAAACTAAACAAATTATTTCATGCCTCATGAGAAACAGTTTACAATCCAAAAACTGTTAGGTTTTATTTATTGACTAAAGCAAGAAGGGGAGACTAGAAACTTATTTGGCCAAATACAATGTGTTAAATTTGAAATACTTGAATAGTCTGCCGATGGTCTCTGAAAATGTTCACTCTCACAACAGCCTTGTTGAAGTCAGGATTGGTGGACTGAATTATTTCATAGTCAATGTGTTCCTAGAGAGAAAATAAGAGAAGACTAGAAATAGATGTTACAACATTAATGACACCAAGTTTAACAGATGTCACATCATTATTGACCTTGAGTATAAGAGATGTCACATCATTAATGACCCCAAGTATAATAAATGGACATTTTGAACAAAACAGAGAGAAAAAAAAACGGCAGGTTAAATTATTTTGATACTTCAAATTTTAATGTAGTTGGATAAAAAACTTTTATGTGAGAGTGGTCTATATACCTGATAATCCAGTGCATCAAAGCCTTTGAAAATAAACTCAAACAAGGTTTTGAGATTCTCTGGACTTGGGGCAGTCACAAACACATTGGAATAACTTCAAAAGAAGAGAATAAAGTCAAACCTTCAAGTATAATACATAAGTTTATCACAAGTCCAATCATAAATACATTACAAGGATTGGTTTCAAACTCAAGGCAAGCTTTATACCAGGCCTAACCAGTGAGTGGTGTCACAAACTATTTTGAAAGATTTAGCATTTTTATTCATATCATTTGTTGGTGTCCTGGTTTGTTATTAAGCACTGAGGGTGGCATCTTAATTTAAAGATTTCCTATATCAGATTAAGATGAATTTATGTAAAAATTCTCCCTTACATTACCACTGATTTAAAGAATCTCACATATAACCAGGTGTTATGCATTTATGTATATATCTCTACAAAGCTAATAAACATTTAATCAGATACCTGCTATTATTTCATGACTTTTAATACTGAAATGATAGTATAACACACAATGAATTTTCTCACCCGAAAGCAACAGCAGCTGACATAGCAAGCCCAAGGGCGGCTGATTTTCCTCGACCTCTGGCTGCCGTCATCACAACTGTACTGCGCAGGGTTTTCTCAACAATGGAGTCCACAAACTTAAGGAAACCATGGGCCTGCAAAATAATTGTTGAGAATATAACAGTTAATTGATTCAGTTCTCTTCCAACGGCTGAAGACTCTTTTCCTGCACCTTCAAGTAGAGCAAGGCATATTTGATTAACAGGGTTTTAAGACCAGTATTCTTTTTAAAAAAATGTTATCCTCGGGAGAATCCTATTTTACATGATGCTCTTCCAATTTGATAATGAAATTAAAGTTTAATATATTGTCAATAGCTTCATATAAATATTTAGTAAAAGAATAATGCATTTTTAAATGATTTTTTTTTTTTAATCCCTTGTAATGAAACAAATAATTTGTGCTTCCTTTACTACATTATTCAAATAACCAGAAATACATAAGTTTTTTTTGTAAGTTTTTTTAAATAAAGAATCAGTAAAGGGATTAATGTATTAACTTATATAATTAGATATTTCAGAGATAATATATTTCTGGAGCAAACCTGGTTATATTTTAAATAATTTTGCAAGCAACAATGGAACATTTAACAATAAAAATGATTCTGGTTTTGCCACAATGCTACTTCATTTCTTAGCTTTTTTCAATCAGACAAAAATACTTAATGACATGAAAAGTAAAAAATGAAGCCTCTTGGAAGACAAAACCAATGGATAACTTTTTATGAATTAACGTTTTATTTACTCTGTGAATATCAGACACGACATTGCACAGACAGTCACAAATATTTAGGTTTAAGTTGAGTGGTAAAGTGATGGACCGAGATGAATAATTTCTGTATATTAGGTGGTAAAAAAAGCAGAGCCAATATGTAACCTTTCACACAATAACATATTTCACACAATAACATATTTCACACAATAACGTATTTCACACAATAACATATTTCACACAATAATGTATTTCACACAATAATGTATTTCACACAATAAAATATTACACACAATATCATGTTAATTTTTTTTTTAATGTGAATGAATATGTTTATAAAGTGTGTTTGTCTTTTGTGTAGCTTTAAATAGAGCATAAAATGTAAACATGTTGAAACTTTCTGTTCTTAAATCTATTGATTACCATAACATAAAACCATTCATGAGTATTTTTTTACTTCCTGTAACATTACTTTGCACTTTGCCCTGTCCCTATGGCTATTTGTCAGTCCAATTCCAACATTAATCTGTCAAGGTCTTAAAAAAATATGACTATTATAGTAACCTGATCTAATGTGCGACAAAGTTTGATGATTTTGCCTGTGGTGACATCCATCTCCTGAATAGAAGTCTTTAACTCAGCAAGCTCTATGTCTTGTGGAGATTTTTCATCCTGTTATTACATAAGTAAACTTAAAATTAATTTGAACTGATTAGCAACAAAGTAAAAAAAAATGTTTTAAATAATTGTGCTGGTGTGCACACATTAAACATACACAATATAATACTATATCAGCTTTTCTTATAGTTGAGAACTTAGCATTCATACACTGTTTTCAATTTCTTACCACCAGTCTCAACATTAATGCCTTAACCCTTTGAACCTGTGACCCCCGCTTTACCAGTCTGTGTGCTAAAAATCCACACAACCCCCCTTCCAAACCAATAATTCGGTATCCCATACCTTACCCTAGGTTGACAGTCTCTATATAAAACTGACTTGCGAAAGGTCACAATAATGGCCAGGCCCATGGTTGCATTGTTTTGTTTTAGTAAAAAAAAATTATATATACAGAGGTGATGAAAATGCAATTGCTATTCTAAATTAATCAAACCAGAGGAGGCTTATGATAATGCAAATGATTCGAAGGATTATTACCGTGATTTGAAAAAAAGGATTATAAGAAAGTAAATAGACAATGATAGAGTGATGACCAATTACAAGTGGAACTGATCTGTGTTTTGGGAATGAAAGCAACAACACAAGGTCTACCATTAGCCCTAGCCCCGGCTTTTATGAAAAATCAGGGACACATGAATGACCATCTACATTTCTATTCTACACCAATTCTAAATATTATTCTCCCAGTGATACATTTTAAAATAGTTATGGACTAATAACAAAGTTAGATTGAAATGCACACAATTTTTTTTTTTCCATTTTATAATCATGTGATTTTGTTGTGGGATAGTGGAACTTTCCCCCAGGAGCCCAGGGGCATGGGTATTTTATGCTTGAAATTATAACTGCATTAAACCAATGAATATGTCAACATCTGGAGGGATTATGTAGTATCAGCAATGTCTGATGACTTTGTCATTTACTCACCAATGATTTTGCCGGCAAGGCTTCTATACTGAGGGCGTGGGTTGACACGGGGATCAGATGAAGCTTGTCATCCACAACAACACAATTTTCGCAAGATGCCAGGGACAAGAGAAACCTAAGAGTTAGAAAACGTCAGTAAAACAACATACAAACCAATTTAAAGTGAGCACAACACAAATGGCCAAGGTAGCACAAATGACCAGGGTAGCCTAAATAACCAAAATAATTAGCAAAATTTTTCTGCAACAGTTGGAACAACCATTAAAAGTATATTATTTAGCATTATTAATTTATAAAATATTAAACGTAAAGGCCCCCAAATTAAAGTACTTATTGTTTGAGTTCTAGATACCTTTCATTAAAGCGACCAACAACATCTTGATGTGCTTCAGTGCGAAATCTGGAGTGGACATCCTGACATAACCAATATGGGAGAGAGGATTAGAAATAATCATTTTTTCAACACAAAAAAAAAAAAAACAAGAACAAAAAAACCTGAACATATTATTATTATATTAAAGTATAACATAACAAAAAAGGGAGAGAGGATTAGAAAAAATCATTTTTTCAACACAAAAAAAAAAAAAAACAAGAACAAAAAAACCTGAACATATTATTATTATATTAAAGTATAAAATGAAAATGCCTAGAATAAAGTCCATTATTTTTTTATTCATAGAGATTAAAAGATTGGTGTGATTGCTTTCATCAAAAGAAAATGATGGCAATATTATGTCATGAAATATCTTGAAGGCACTTTGTATTTAAATGACAATAACTTGTTTTTGTTTTCTAAATGAGAGAAATAATTTCCTTAGTGCTAAAATTCTTAGCTACTAAACATCTATTCTGAGATAAACCACTTTGAATTTAAACTGATTATCAAATTACATTATATGTGTGTGCGTGCATCTCCAGGGAAAAATGACTTGGGTGTGTATTCATTTCTTCATATCAATAGAGTTCATTACATATAAAAAGATCAATGGCTTGGTTTTGAAAAAAAATGCAACTAAAGTAATTTTAGCACCAGGTTCTTCAATTTGAGGCTCTATTCTATAGATGAGATCGGCTGCAGTATCACAACTCACCATGGACATGGCAAACAGCTGTTTCAGAGAAGACATTGTACGTAGCAATAAGATAACAAGGCCGCCACCTTCAACTGTTTCTATTGTCCTTGCCAGTAAATTTGGAGTCAGAGCTTCAAAGTCCTGAAATGGTCATCAAGAAAACAGAATGGTTAAGACATTTACATGCCAGAGAACTTACATTTATTTTCATCTCCTTTATTTTATATATTTCGATATCATGATGAGGGTAAACATTTTTTAAAAAAAAGAGTTGAACACTTTCAATGAACAATGGAAAAAGACGCTGTAGTAAATTAACATGATGGACGCAGAGTTTTTAATTATTAAGGTAACCACAGCCAAACGTGGACACTAACCTGTAAGACACACATGCCGTATGTGTTTCCCAGGATTTTGTGAGTTTCTGCGTAATAACAGTAGCGAATGTTTGTGGATGAAATGAACAGATCAAATGGATCATCTTCTCTCACATTCAGTTTTCCACTTTTTATCTTTTTCTGTATTTCTTTCATTCTTTTTTTGGGGTGACTGGATTTTAATGATGAAAAATTGTTTTAGATATGTGTAGATAATTATTTGTTGTAAGTTATGCTTTATTTTATTTATTCATGTTTAATAAATTTCTAAATCGTATGCATGATTCATTACTTTTTTATGGCCAAAAATGTCATAAGTTGGCAATAAAATGTGGTACATGAAAATCTTCTAATGTATAACTACTATCATGATAATAATAATAAGGGGTCTTATATAGCGCTGTACCCCAGCCTAGGGCTGAGCTCACCGCGATGTACATAAAAATTTTATCAGAAGAGACATAATCATGACATTAAAATAAAATACATTTATGAAATAAAGCACAGCAAAAAAATTATATTCACCCTCCCAACACATAACTTTTACAAGGCAAACCATGGACTGCAGCCAGCAAGATCGTTTATCGGTAAGAGGAGGGGAATAACTCAGGGTAGTATAATTTAGAAAGATGTGTTTTGAGTGCAGTTTTGAATGCCTGGATGGTTGGTATATTGCGTATGTGTAGTGGCAAAGAATTCCGTTGTTTGGGGGCGCAGAAAGAGAAAGATCGTTCACCATGTGTTTTAGTCTGTGTCTTGGGAACGGACAGAATACGTGTGTCTGCAGAGGAGCGAAGCTGTTGAAGGGGTGAATAGACAGAAAGAAGTTCGGTTAGATAGGAAGGGCAGGAATAAAAAAAAAAGTTGTGACAGAGAACAGACAACTTGTAGTCAATGCGTGCCTGTATAGGTAGCCAATGAAGGGAATGGAGTAGTGGAGTGACGTGATCACGTTTTTTTGCCTTTAAAACTAGCCTAGCAGCTGAGTTTTGAACTTTCTGCAGTTTTTCTATGCAGTGTTTTGGTGAACCTGACAGAAGAGAATTGCAATAGTCAAGACGAGAGAGAACAAAAGCACAGACTAGAGTTTTTGTAGCGCTAACTGTGAGGTAGTGGCGTATGGAGCTGATTTGACGGATAGTGGTGTATGCTAAACGACAAATGTGAGATATGTGTTTATCGAGAGACATGTTGTTAGAAAGAATATAACCAAGATTCCTAGCAGTTCAGCTGAAACGGACCTACTAAATCCTAACTCCTTCTTGTAACACCACAAAACTGATGGCCTGGCCTTTAGTTCTGCTTTGCTTAACATGTGATGTAGTATGACAACCTGAGAGGATAAAGGTAAATAAGAATAACCATAATGTTCTTAATTAAATTAATCAAACACACAATATAAAACAGTGGCCACATAGTTAGCACGAAGAGATAACTTTTACAGATCGTCAATCGTTAAATTCAAAGACAGAGGATGATGATTGATTTGTTTTTTTTTATTTGGATAAAGAGTAATTTGGCGCTGACCCAGGTGAATATTTCATGTCAAATTATTCAAGAGACATAAAAGAAAAAGCGAAAGAAGCCTGTCCCTTTTTGTCTTCTCTTTTTTTCATGCTCATGAAACATCATTGACTGTTGGCCTGAACACTTGATATATAAATTAATAATTAATTTAAATTAATATTTAATTTACTATCTTGTCATGGGTACTCTGGGCCATTCAAAGATTGACTCTGACAGAAAAATTTACATCCATATCATTATCATCAAAGGAATATCAGATAATTACAGCCAAACATCTTTTACTCACAATAATTTATGACTAATGCTAATTGGAAAGATTAATTATTTTTTAAACTCTAGCATAAATTTTTTGTAGCTGCTGAAATCTAACATATAACTAAAGACAGTCTCACATCCTAAAAATGAAATACAAAGTAAAAAAAAAATCATCTTTAATACAAAATCATGTCCTTTACACATTTAGACATTATTTTTGTAGAATTGACAGCAACATTGTACTTACACTAATTTTACACAATGCCTGTATTTATATGAAAGAAAATATCTTGAGGGCTTAGAAATTTTAAAAATGTGTAACCTAAAATATTCATTAGGAATCAAGCTACTTTTCTAATTATTTTTTTGGCATAATTTAACCTTTAAACGTGATGTGGTGCAACTAACAATTTTTTACTACCGGGTACTGTCACTGTCCTTAGCTATACAGTGGAACCTCTCATAACGAGCACCTCTCATAACGAGTAATTTGCATAGCGAGCAAAAAAAATGTGAAAATTTTCGCATAACAAGTTACGCAGAAAGGGGAAGTCCCTTTTTCCCTCACTTTTGCTTGGAAAAAACTGGCCAGATAGTGTTGTTGAATGTGATTTTGAAACAGTACCTGTGGAGTCTAAAGTTAACGAGATTGTGTCATTGGCCAATATTATGTGACTCTAGGTGGACAACAACGATATTGAAGAGCTTGTGAAAGAGCACAGTCAAGAGTTGACCACCGAAGAGCTTATGGAGTTGCATCGTGTTTCACAGCAAGAAATTATGGAGGAGAGCTCATTAATGGAGGAGGAAGTAGCAGAGCAACAATCTTCTAGCGCAATAAGAGAAATGCTGAAAGCATGGGAAACTGTTGCATCGTACATTAAGAAGCATTACCCTAATAAGGAGGTGGCTATTCGTGCTTCAAAATTATTCAATGATAATGCTGTGACACATTTTCGTCAAATTTTGAAGCGTCAGCAAAAATAATTGTCTTTAGACAGTTTTCTCGTTAAAAAGGATTAATTATTTGTTATAAATTCATATTTTTATTTACGTTTTTGTTTCAAATCTAAATTGTATTCCAAGTTGTTACACTCCTTAACAATTCATAAGTAATTTTATTTGAATAAATGTTAATTTTTGAAAAATTAGTATTTTTTTCAGCATGGAACGCATTATCGTATTTTACATTGATTTGTATGGGAAAATTGTTTCGTTTAACGAGTGTTTCACTAAACGAGTAAGATTCTGGGAAGAATTATGCTCGTTATGAGAGGTTCCACTGTATTTCACTTTTGTGTGGTATATGCCATGGTATCTCATATGAGAGAACTTTGACATGTTGGGGAACACACACTTAAGTCTTCTACCTTGAATCTGGCACAGCCCCCATATTTTTCAAAACCATAAAAACCTCCCTGTTGTAAAGACTTTAAATGTACCTGATCTTTCCCTTGATCTCCAACAATAACAAACATGGAGCGATGTCGACTTGCCACTCCATTTTCAATCATCAGACGAATTCGGTTGTCTATTTTCTTTCTCACCATTTTGACTTTAATCCGGGTACTTTAAACTTTAAGGGTATGAATCTGAAATTGATAAACATTTGATAAAATAACAATTTGAACTTTTGATACTATACATAATTTCATTGGTATACCCCAGTGTGCGAGACCTTGTCCGGCTATTTGATATTGAGGCTTTTTCTGAAATCTGAAGAATGAGAGTGGTTTAGCTTTAATGAATGGCATAGGTAGACTGTCCATGTTTGACATTAACAGAGCAAACTTTTATTTTAGACATTGGTTTGAATGCAATGCCTCTCCCAGTCCAAACATTATTGACATTTTTCCAAAGGTTGGATGGTGATGGTCTGAGAAAGTGAAGCTGTTTACACACTTGGTCATTGACTTTTGGACTCTCTTTAAGGCTTTCCAGGAGCTGGCTGGTTGCAAGACCTCAATCTTTTTCACGTTAATGAACTAAATTTTGAATTAACATGGGCCAGTAGGGGCTATCACATCTGATACATTTATGTTTGGCCTTGGCTATTAGTAACAAGTAGTATACCTAATGCTTGTATTGCCAGCAGTGCACAGTTTCATGTAAAAATGTTGCATCCTGAACTGGCTACAAACCAAGTTCAACTTTCTATCTTCTTATAGAATTGGTGCTATGATTTTTACTGTGAAAACATTTTTTAAATTCATTTGTTCACCAATCTTGTCAGAATTTAGCAGCATACTCCTCTAACTGTTCTCGTAAAAAGAATGGAAAATGATTTTTTTTTTTACAATGTTTTACTTTTATTTTCAGACTTATCCATTGAAGTCTATTCATTATTTATGTGATATTCATCAATGAATATTCATATATAAATGTAGTAAATGCATCCGATTTTCACATTTTATTATTTTCTACCCCATCACTTTTCTTCCTGTTACTTTTGTTTCCATTTTCTATAATAAACATTAAAATATATATTTATATGAACTGACAAATAAAATTAAGGTTAATAAAAAGTCCCCTGAGACTTTCTTCTTCCTAAAATCTGCCTAATACAATCCCACCCACCTTTAAAAAAACTAGATCACTGCAGAGCCAAATCATCAAATGTTATAATTTAAATGGCTGCGGCTATTCGGACCCGGTATCAGAAGTGAGAGGTTGGGTTTATTAAAAAATATTATTGTTGGGTTTGTAAGATAAAATTTGGTATTGAATTAAAGATAATTGAAATGGACAAAATGTTTGTTAATCTAATTCTTCAGTTTAACTAAAATAATCTACCACAAATGACATCCGAATAGCATTTGGTCTAATGGGACCCGGGTGCAAATAGCGGCGATGCGTCCCAGGTTCCATTTTGACTAAATGCTATTCGGGTGTCATTTGTGGTCGTTAAATTTAATTAAATTGAAGAATTAAGTTTACAAGCATATAGTGACTTATAGTCCATTCAATTATCTTTCATTGGATACCAAATTTTATTTTACAAACCCAACAACAATATTTTGAAACATTTTTTAATCCTAACCTCTCTCTTCTGGTAGCCGGGTCCAAATAGCCACTTCGAAATTTTAATTGTCACAACAAGTTTTTGCGTTGAGCTGAATGGTGTAGGGATGAAAAACAACACCTATTACTAAGTAATGGTAATGGATGTAATGGTAAAAACAGGAAAAATGGCTAGATATATATTATTACGAAGTGGATGCGTACACCGCGGCGGTGTACCTAGCGAAACCATCGGCTTTGGCCTGCGTAAACCGCGGCGGTGTACCTAGTGAAATCGTGGGCTTTGGCCTGGGTACACCGCGGCAAAAATTTACCATTGGCCTGGTTTTAAGATATACTTGTTAGAGA